CCCCCCCCCGACTAATTTAATGGTAAACATGCGGTCATTGTCCATTAGGAAGCTCCATTTGTGCCGGATCTTTAACTTCCTGGCTGAAGTCTTCAGTATTTCCACTTAATGTTTTTTTTTCTTCATGGTGCCATCAAGTTTCTTTGCCTCCAGCAGGAAAACACCCAACGTTGTCAAGGCGGAAAGGTTCCTCTTTTCCCCTCCAAACATAATGCTGGTCATTATGGACAAACGGTTCAATTTTAGTTTTATCACACCAGATATTAATGTCTTTGACTCCGAGTTCATTTACAAACTGCAGCTCGTCTTTCTGCAAGCTTCTGTTGCTTTTTGAACTAATGACTTCTTCCTCTCCGACTGGCTCTCCAGGCACTTCTCTTATTTTTCTTTTTTACTGAGGATAAAAACTTTTATTGTCCAGCCTGCGTCTTTATAAGGTCTTCTGCTTTCGTTCTGGAGCTGATGCTCACTTGTCTCATCATGATACTTTCAACTCTGGGGAACAAAACTTGTTTCCTTCCTAAACCGTATGAAGGCTGGATATTCATATGTGGTCTACAGCTGCATATTATTATTATTACTAGAACAACAGGAAGTGGAAGACAAGGATGAAATAGTCTTCTGCGCAACTGTCGTCTCAATATCTCGGCTTACATTTCTTTAGATTTTTTGTCATGTTAAAAAAAATTGTATATCTAAAGTGTTAAAAAGTACATAAATTGTTCCTATTTATATCTAAATTTATCATTCAGGAACTTACAAAAGTCGTGATATCACTATCTGGGCTTTCGTAGAAGATTCCCAGTCGTATTAGTCTTACTATATGCCTACTTCAGGATTAAAAAGAAATCCCTGTAAATATGGTAATTACTCCAAGATTTAGCAAATAAACTGTGAATCCTAACAAACCTAAAACCAGAAAAGGTTGGGCTGATTTACTGTCAGATTGTAACCAAAAAAAAAGAAAAAAAAAAAGAAGAAGTTATATCTTTTTATACATTAAAAATAAATATCTGGTTTCAACCGTATGCTTGGTTGAAAAAGAAAAAAAAAACACAAGAAATGTAGGTTTCAGCCTTCTTGTTCTTCATCCAGAAATCTTCTCCATCACTTATTATTCATCAGAGTAAGAAGGAGAAAGTGTTCACTGGAGTAAAAGCTTTTGGTACCGAGTGGTGGTTCGATATTGTTGTGGACATAAAAACATTTATTATAAAGGGAAGCGGAGGATGTGAATCTGGAGGAGTTGGAGAGGACGTTACTGTCTGCTACAGTAGCGGCAGAGCGGCGCAGCGGCAGCTACGAGATCAGTTCAGAGAAATAGTTTCGTGTCAGTCGGCATATTTCTATCAGGAAACAAAAGATAAAAATGTAATTCTGCAAAAGCAGATCTTAAGAGAATCAATAATCCTCTCCAGTTATTCACTACTGAGTACCTTTACTTTACTCCTTTAGCAGAAAAATATTAATCCAAAAACATGCAAGGATTTTACAAAAGAACAAGTGGACAGGAAAGTTCAAATACAGGATGGTGGGAGAAAAGACTGAGGGCCCAGATTAAACATCTGAGTGATCAATTCGTGTGTTTGCTTATGTCTGAGCAAATATGAAATAAAATTGGATCGAGTCTAGGCACCAAGTTAGATTTAGAATTAGAAATATAAGTTTTTTTAATGGTTTGTTTTCTTCACCACGATTAAAAAAAAAAAGAGTAGAGGAGCTACTCAGAGTTAAAGGAAACGCCTAAATTATCTAGAGAATACACACAGAGCTGCTATTTGCAGGCAGTAACGCTAATCATGCTAATTGATTAAATAATAGGCAAAAGACGGTTTGAAATGTCTCTAGCATGAACCGGTAATTGTTTTAAAAAGAAACATCTGTCAAAATGTTTTTTTTTTATTGCGTGACTGAGTAGCAGCAGCTCTGCTGATATAAAGGCATTGAGGATCCGTCACTTCAGGCAGATTCCTGTTCAGGTATGAATAAGTTGATCCTTTCTCCGTGTTACGCATTTGAGTAAATTTTAGTCTTGTGAAAGGGAATGTAATTCTTCTTTAATCATGTTGTGTTTGCATAGATAAAGCACCTGGAAGATTTTATTGTGTTTGCAAAACTGCAACCTAGGGCTGTTTTTGAGAATAAAAAATTAAATTATACGTTTAATTTGCACATTGCAATGCAAAGAAAAGTATTTTTTGATTGACAGAAAAATTTAGTTAAAATCTGAGAAGTCCACAAAGACAGAGATCAGAAAATGGTAACCAGATCTCTAATCTAATTAGTTAGAAAAATTGACAAAAATTGAAGAAATTGAGAATCAGCAGAATAGGATGTAGAACATGACATTGAAAATATTGCTAAAACCTCGAAATTAGGCAACAACTTTTCCCTCATTTGAATGAAAAAAAATAATTGTGACCACGTTGCACTGATTTAGTTCTTAAAAGTTAGTTGGTTACACAATACCTGTAATATTTATTTTGGAAAATATTGAAAATCATGTAACTTTTGCATTAAAATCAGAATATTTCATAGCTAATTTAAGCCTGTGCTGATCTTAAAATATTAAAATTGTATCAAGTCAACCAGTCCCCATGGAGGCCAGAAACTATTTCTGATTAAATTCGCTGTCCTTAGTAGGTTGGTTCAAGCGTCATAACATACATCCAATTATTGTTCATTAATGATGCAGAAAGGCACTTAACAGAAAAAAAAAAAAAAAAAAACATATAATGGGAGCGGATTTCACAGCTCAAAATGCTTAAGGCCTGTCTGTTTGTTTGTTGGCTAAACACTGAGAAATTACTCATTTTGTTACATGGCACCAATTTTCTTTTTGTAAAAAAAAAAAAAAAAAAAAAAAAAAAGTGATAAAAAAAAAAATATATCTCTGTTTCTATGTTTAGAGTCTAAACTGGGCTACAGGCTGACTCAGTTAAATTACGCATTTGGTTTGATGCAGTCCAAATTAAAATTAGCACCTTGCGGCGGCATGCCTCTCCAGTTCACACTCGGTGCCACTCAGTCTGACCTTTTGATTGCTAAATGTCAGCGCATTAGGATTCTACCCAGGCAGACATCCGCGTGAGATCGTGTTATTACTACCTCACGACTGTTTAAGACTCAACCGAAAAGATGTTTGGAAAGGTCAAAGTGCCAGCGCCCTTTGACCACCAAAGTCAAGTGTGTGGAGTCTGAAGGCAAAAAAAAAAAAAAAGAAGAATCAATTAATAAAGTCACTCGTGTTTGTTCTGTAGAGATTGAATAAAAGAAAGGATATGTGCATAGATGACATGAAATATTTAAGGATCCAGTCACTGGAGGCAGAAAAAGTGCACTCTGCAGCAAATCTGTCAAATTAAATCACAAAGCCAGACCTTCTCGTAGTTGGAGAAGCCGCCCATGACGGCGGGGTCGACGATGCCGCTGAGCATCATGGACAGCGGGTTGATGGACAGTGACCGGTCGCAGGCCTGCTGCTGCACCAGGTTGCTGAGCTTCTCGTTGGCCATCTCCATCGTTTCTATGGCGTTCATCAACGGGCTGATCTCCTCCTGACACGCGGACGAGCATTCGTCATTAATAACTTAAGAAACGACAATACCACAACACAACATGATTTAGGAATGAGGGCTGCTTCTCACCACTGAGACGGATTTGACTTCAAACCATTTGAGGATCCCAGGGAAGTGGTAGGCGGTGATGTAAGTGGTTCTCTCAATCCACATGGTCTGTGGGGCGGAATATTAATACAATGCTCAAGGGGTAAAACGTTCATTGCTTTATTCATTTAAAGACATTTTGTTTTTTGTTTTTTTTTGCTGCTCCAAATTAGTGTTTTTCCATCGTCTTAGGGTGTTTTCACACCTGATGGTCCGGTTGACTCGGTTCAATTGGGGACCAAAATTGCAACGTTTGTTACATCTTCAGCTGCGCTGTGTCAAACGAACCAAATGAATCGACAAAATTGTTCTCCTCCCCGTCTGTGGGGGGCGCTGCATCAAAAACTAACGAAGGAAACAACATGTAAACCTCTGAAGAAGACGTGAATGCGAAATGTAAAGAAAAATGGAGTAGCGTCAGATTACGTGGTTGCTCAGTTAAATAGTTATAGGGAAAGAAAAAAAAAACATTTGATTCGGACTCAAGAGAATTTGAGGAAAGAAAAAGTTGGAAAAGGAAAAAGGTGGCAGTAGTGAAACAGTGATGGATGAAAGCTGCCGTTAAAAACTAAAAGAAGAAGAAGTAGTGTCGGATTTTAGCGGTGGCTGGGTTTCTTTTTGTCTTTGGTAAAGACACAAGCAATTTCTCCCGCTGGCCTTAGACTCTCACGTTTGTTTTGGCTGTATTTACCCTGAATACCCTGCAATATAGTTCACTTCCTACTTCTGGAGCGGTCTCCAGTCCTATGGCATTAAAAACATACGCATGCAAACTGGGACCGAGGTTTTTAGGCGGACCACGGTTCGCTTCTTTTGGTCTGCATCAGAGTTGAGTTTGATTGTTCACGCCTCCCCAAGCGAAATCTAGTAAAACAAACTGCAGTCCAACTGAAGGAGACCAACCAGGGCTGGAGTGAACTTTGCACCCTCACAGCCTCAAAAATAAATGTAAAAAGTGCTCACAGCAAACTCGTTGTCCGGGTCCTTTTCACCTTTCCTGAAGGGCCTGGAGTACTGGAACTGGTCCACTTCATTGTGTCTATAATAGCTGCAGGGGAACGAGAGAGGACAGCGATGAGTTAGCACTTTGTTCACAGGACTACACCCCCACCTGCGCCCCCACCCTGGGATTGAATAGGAAATAAATCAGCCTTTAAATGTTGTGTCACGCACTTTAATATCTGCTCTGGAACCCCCTTGTCTTTGAACCGTTGTGGCACCGTGAGAACAGGCTTCACAGTGAAGCACTGGATGTCTGTCCAGTTCAGTTAGGGATAAAAACCAGAAACAACGGGTGAGACGAGACGAGACAAATTGCTCTGAATCATTCTGTGTGGTTTTTTTCCCTCTTTTTCTTTCTCGTTGGAAGTTGCGAGGCTGCAATTAGATAGAGTGGTACTCGAAGCTGAATGCTTACAAGGGAAGATGAACACACGTCGTACCGAGCTGGTACAGTTTATTCTGAGCACAATGCCTCGTCGGGATTCATCTCTGTTCAGCTTTTTCATATTTTGTCACGTTAAAACCACAAACAACTTATTTTTTAAAATGTTTTATTGTTTTTGGGCCATCGTTTGTCTTTCAGGGTTTCGCTAGAACTGCTTTGTACATTTAGATGAGATTTTTTCCCCCTCATTTTTCATCGCAAAGCGGCTCAAACTTTGAGGTTTCACCACAAATTCTCATTCTCATTTGGGTCTGGGCTTTGACTGGGCCATTCTATCACATGAATATGTTTTGATCTAAGAAATTCCATAGCAGCTGTAGGTGTTTTTTTTTTTAATTATTATTATAAAAACAGAGAATATTGTGATTTTTAGGGAGAAAAAGACTGGGTAACTTTTAAGTGCTTGACTTCTGAAGGATACGCTGCCCAGGCGAGTTGCAGATGTCGTCCCCAGGGGGCGCTGTGCTCGTCATCCGGACTGCGTTTGGGAACTGAGAGAGCAGCTTTAAGCTGAAATCTTCCAGCCACTCGTACTCTTTGCCTCGGTAGATGAACATTTTGTTCTGCAGGATATATGGAAAAAAGGGGAAAAAAAAAACAGACATTGTGTAACCAAAGCCTATAAATAAAAAGAATTGTCATCAAGGTTAATTTACATACTTAATGAGGTTGTGTGTGTGGGGGCAGGGGGTGGGGAATGATTAAACCTTCAACGAGACTGCATTCATTCTGACATTCTCTTGTGGCATCAAGAAGCCAATAACCTTTATTGGAATTATTGCACGTTGCCCCAAGAAATATTTCAAAATGCCAGCCCGCTGCATAAGCCCAGCAATATGAGGTTGTCTCTAAGTCTCCATTTATTGAAACAGGTAATCATTTTCTTACCCTGAGGAAAGAAGGGAATCCAAGGCCATAATATCCGACAGCAAAGTACTCTGGCTGCGGCCGCATGGCGTGCATTATTTGCTCGTAGAACTTGGCTTGTTTTTTCTGCAACGACGAAAGGCGTTGAGACGGCATGATGTAATCAAGTGTGTCGCAAATATATCAGCGGTTACAAATTGAAAAAAGAAGAAGAAGAAGAAACAATTACAGCACAGCTGAAAAGAAGAACGCCCTTTGTCCTTGTAGGCAGTTTTAGGTAAATCTCTTTAAAATTTAATTTTTTTTTTTTTTTTTTTTAACTTTAAATCTCACGCCTTAATTGCAGAGCGTGCCCCACTCTTACCAGCAGCTCGCTCAGCTCCATGAAGTCAAACATGTGGATCTCGTGCATCTTGGCCAGCTGCTTGCCCAGCTCGATGGCCTTCTCCCACATCTGACAAGACAGGGGGTGCGCTCAATTAACACGGGGGTGGGGGGGAGGAACCATAAAACACCAGCTTAGAAAACCGGAGCACAACCCAGACCGCCACCTGCCTCCAGCTGCACGGTTAATAAATGGTCGGCCGTTACGACACGGCGTCTTGCAGCGGGAGTCTGGGCTGACGCAAGCTTCCTTGTGGGTTTCGCCATGCGACCACAGACTAAGCTAAAGATGAGGCTGTTTTGTCATGCTAAGCAGTTACCTTCCCCTTGTCCAGGTAGCATATGATCTCCTGGAAGAGCCTCTCCTTGAGCTCCTGCTGGGTCCAAACGTGCTCCCCGTCCCGAGGGATCAGATGAGGGGCGCAAGGTTTGTCTGACCACTGCAGGAGTCAAAAGACAGAAAAACTGGTTGAGCTTAGACACTGAAAGGAAGATAAATATATTTTAAAAAATAATTTCTAGGAGCCTTTCAAGTAACAGACCTCCAGTAGCTCAGCATGCAGCAGCAGCGTGTATGCGGCCTCCGTGTAGTTTTCACAATCCAGATGCAAATCTCGCAGCTTGTACAGATAGCTGGTTGAGAGAACGGAGAAGTTAGAGGCAGACGAGGGTAAAAACGAACGTCCTCGCCGATTCCCTCCGACTCACCGGATATAAATGTCCTCCCTCTTCTTTTCTTTGTAGAAATTCTACAGGCAAAAGAACAATTTCATTAGAAACACTGTCTTAACCTCTTATTATAATTAAATGAGTAGTTTCAAAAGGGATTGAGATTTTTTGAGGTAAGAAGGTTGTGATGGAAAATCTGTTAGGGAATGTGATGGATTATTTCACAACGGAAGCCATTAGCTATTTATATCAAATATGTTATTATTTTTTTAAGAGTCATGAAAAAAAAAAGTGTTTAAGAAGTTTTAAATTTGCTTGTCTTGTTTTCAAGTAAGAAGAAAGGATTGGACTTTACAATGTAATTAAAATGTTTCCATAACTTTTTTTTTTTAACTTTAATGTTATACGACATCAGGAAAATATGCTACTACTAATAAATTCCTTATTATTCTGCAAACAAAATCTAAAAAAAAAAAATAGTCATTTCATTCACCTTTAACAGTAAAATACTGCCAAAACACAAAATTCACAGATAATGCACAACAGGATGTTCAGTGAAAAGTTCCTAAGCGGTCAGTATCTTACACAAACTTAATATTAACTACCTGGGAATTCAATCTCTTCCTGAACATGGTCACCCCGCTAATGAATGCATTCAGTTTTAAACAGGAAAATGCCTGATACCTCTTTCTTCCTCCAATTTTCCAGACTAACGTTTATGATAATAATCTGTGGAAGTAGCGTCTAATGCAAACATGGGGACGGTTTAAAAATTCACTAGATTCCGTTTCCTTTTTAAGACGAGGGTTGTTTTAAAGCGGCAGACTCCTCCTGAAGCAGCAGCCATTAGCACCGGCATCCGGGACAAACCGATCTGGACTTTTAACAAAAGAAGCAGCCAAGAGAGCAATCCACAGACAGTTTCTAGCAGAACCTGACAGTGACCAGCCCTTCACCCCCTTCCGGCGGGAGCGGGCTGCAGGCCTGCGGCTCACCAGCACGTTGACGGTGCAGCTCATGCGGTGCTCTGGACTCTCGTCGTGCGTGATGGTGCGGTACGCCAGCAGGTTCTCCAGCAGGCTGCTCAGCAGCAGGGCCAGCTCCTCTCCGGAGTGGGACAGGTATCTGTGCCGTCTGCAGTGCTCCAACAATCTTAAAAAGCAAACAAGCAAACACCCAAACACCGTGAAACTCAGGAAGCTGTTTGGCAGCCGACTCAAAATCACATGTGCTGTGTAGGTCGCTATGAATTTAACGAAGCTTTGCATTGACACGGTGTACTTCAAAGACAGAGAAATACTCTCTGTTTTGCTCTCATCCTCTGCCTTACATTTTCTCCAAGAGGACTTTGTACTGCTCATCTCCTCGACCTCCTTCGACTTCTTGGTCCAATTTCGTTATGAGTTCATTCTCAAACTGCAAAGTAAAGAGGGAAACCAGAGGGAAGCGTTTGTACAAATAAAATGATGCACTTCTTTCTTGTAGCTGGATCCCTGGTAGTTGCAATTTTCCTGCATCTATTCCTCCTGGGGTTCAACATAAACAACTAGAAACGCATTAAAAATTAAAAATAAAACTACAAAAATAAACAAATACAGAACAGAGGGCATAGATTTTAAAAAATGAATAGAGAACTATAATGAAAAATGTTGTATGAAAGGATATTCACTTCAATATGTCAAGCAACTCCTACACACAATCGATATAACACAATAGGAATAATTAAGTATGGTTGTTTTTCTTGTAAATGCCTTTGAAATTCATTCTTCTGATGCATCTCTAATATAATCTCAGGCAAGGTGAACATAACTCTACATGATCTCGACATCTTCAGAGACTTAGTATGAACCTCTGGAAGCATAAATCTCCCTTCGATCGCACGTCTAGTTTGATAATCATGAACATTAGTACTAAGGCTGGACAATAAACCAATAATATACATCATGATAGACACATGATCAATATCAATATTGACCAATATTAATATTATTGATAGAATATTCTATATCTAGAATATAGAATATTCACTGAACTTTGATTCTGAACCGCACAGCATTCTGGGAGATGTAGGCAGAGAAAAGGAGTTAGCCGCGCGCAACCTCTCAGTGAGCTAAGCTAGGTTGGCGGCATCGACTAACTCACTCTCTCTCTGGTTACCTAACAACAGTCTGTTGGGTAACTTGCGCAGCAGCAGTTTCAGGTTTCGCTACTATGCCTCATAACCGTTTAAAAATGTTTTAAAAATTATGTGGCAACAAAACTATGGACACAATACAGTTTTCACTCCAAAACAAAAAAACCTAGTCAGTAATTATCAATGTTGACTGATATGAAATGCTTGTATCATGACTTTTTTCGGCCACGTTGTCCAACCTTAATACTAAAAAAAAAATTATTTGGAGTATATAATCTCTGGTTGTTTTGAACTTGTGTTTCTTCTAATATCATTTTAAATATAAACCTGAATCCAACCCTGAACCAGGGCAATTTAATACGCATCACGTTTTGCATTTATCCCTCCCCGCTACCCCAACAAAAAACAAACAAAAAAAAAAAATCAGATTCCCGAGGCGGAGTCTTACCGTTTCAAAAGTGCGCGCTGGGCTGAAGTTGTGCTCGCACTGCATCATATCGAAGAAGATGGGAATGGTATCCTTCCTGAGCTCCGGCTCCGGCACCAGCGTGACCTCCAGGATGGGGCCGACCATGGAGGGGATAAACTTCATTTTGTGCGGGCCTGAGGGACGGCAAATATTATCGCACAGAAATATTACAGCGTGACTTGAGAAGGCAATATGCTGCCTCTTCACGTCTCGACAAACAGAGGAGGAATCTAATAATGTGCCCCAGAAAAAAACCACCACCACCACCAACAATGACAACATCAGCGGCGGCACACTTTCTGAAACTGGACAATAAAAAAATATTGTCTCGTTATTCCCCTCGCGTCACAGCCGGCCCCCTGATAAACAGCGTCGACGTTTTCGGAAGGACAAAAAGCTCACCGATGTTGTACCACATGTCTCTGATTCTGAATCCCATGTCCTTCCTCATGTCTCCGTATCTGAAACACATTCAGATCAAGCAGCTTGATAAACCTCCTGTCTTCTAAAGTAATAAAAAGCCTTAAAAATCTGCCCAATGAGCCACGTCTCTTTAGATTTGGCCATCGGTTTTGGAGCACTGTCTTGTCTGAACGCCCAGCGACGCCCCATGTGACGTTTGCTTGTAGAGATGACCAGACTTTTATTTAACATTTCTCCATTTCTCCCATTAAAGAAAAGGGCCCACAGCATCACAGATTCTTCACCGTGCTTCAGAGCAGCGTACGGTGGTCATTATCCACGATGTGAAAGAAAGAAAGAAAAAAAAAAAAAAGATTCAAACCACTGTCAGACACACACACGCACACAACCATCCATGACAGTATGCTAAAATCTCACGGGCAATGTTTTTTCTGAAGTATAATTTCTGAGGCAACAAGAGCAATCTTTGGGATGGATTATTGTTATTATTATTACTGAGTGAGAAGTGCAACAGTGTGCTTTTGTTCTGTACTCTTTATTCTTTTTCTTTTTCATTTTTGCTGCTTATCTTGTACTGCTCACTTCCTTCTATAACAATGGAAATTTCCCACTTGTAATTAAGGATATTTACCGCCAGGATTGAACTAGCCCAGAAACAAATCATGGAAAATTTTGAAAAAATGGATATTAAATTTAGTGCAAAGTTTTGAGACAACAATTAGCAATAATTTATCCCCGAGATTCATCTCCATAATCCATAAAAAAACACTTATGGATTATTAATACCCTGAGCCACAGTGAAAACCTCTCTCTTCTGCTTCAAGCACAGAACCTTTTTTGCAGGTAGGAGGAGAAATGAGAGGAGATCAAATGGCGAGGAGCCATTATAAAATAGGGGGTACAAATTGGCGAAGAAGCAAACTAACCCACAGCTGTTCATAGCATCTCATTGTTGCCATGGAGACTTCAAGATGCCACTTTTTGCTGCGGTCACCAGAGAGTGAATTTTTCTCAGATTTTTCCATCACGCTGCACATGGTGGCAGGATAAACACGGGCCCTCGTCTAGCTCCGTTTGTCACAGTTTCAGGTTTGTCTTATTTATAGTTCCGACTTTAGATACATAAGCAAGTTTAAGATTGAGTCCATTATCTTTTCGCTGCTTGAATATCGGATCAGAGCTGCGGTACTTGGAGGGCATGTTCTCTTGTCTCTCCTGCTTTGAAGAGTGGCTAAGAGAAAAGAGCCTGTGGTTTTTATCAGGGAATGAGGGGCTAATGGATCACTGATCAACACTCTAATGAACTTAATGTAAAAATGTTTCAGCTGCATTTACTGAAAGTGGAATTAGTTGATAAAAAAATAAATTTTCCTTTTAACTATTACACTCAAATTACAGGTTTGACTCGTCCATATTTTTATACGCATCATCAAATAAAATAATCTATTTATCTTTAAGGCTTTTTCCATATTTTTATCAAGAATCGTGATCAGCACTGAAACTTTTAAAGATTGCGTGTAAAAGATCTCACTTGTTCAGGATCTTAGTTCGTTTTTCCTGGGAGAACGATTCCAGCTGCAGCGTCTTATGAGTGAGGAAGGCCACGGTCAAATGAAAGTAATTATTCCAGAGCTGCAATAAAAGTAAAACACACACACACAAAAGCTTTTAAAATATTGATACAACCGAGGACCAAACCCTGATCTGTGTTTAATAAGCGGTCCGTTCCGCTAAAGGGAAGCGCTGCGGACCTGCAGCTCAAAGTGCACCGGGTCCAGGAAAAGCTTGTTGAGTACGTCCGAGTACTGGTTGATGGCCCTCAGGAAGACCTGCATCTGCACCAGGTTCATCACCATCCAGTCGGCAGGGAACACGTTCCCCATGAGGTCCTTAAACATGATGAACGTCTCCATCAGGAAGTCCTAAAAAGAAAGAAAGAAAGAAAAAAAACTGAGGGTTCAGGGAGGGGGGATAAAATCTTTACTGCAAACGCATCAGTTCTGTCTCTTAAAAGAAACGCATTGAGTAACAGCGGAGAGATCAAAAACCAAACACACACACACGAGGTAAATCAGCTGCGCCACTCCTGAACGTCACTCACACACACTCCGCCCCCTCCACCCGCTACCTCCACTTTTTAGTTTAATAGAGGTCCAGGAACATCCTGATTCTGTCAGTTTAATCAAGTGCATGAAATGTCTGTAATCAATATTCCCTTAAGGAGCAGTAAGTGGCCGGGTTGCTTTATTGCCCGTTATTGATGGGATGCTCCGGGACACGATGCAGCCGACGGCGGAGGAGCCGAGACACTTACAATGATATCCTGTCTCGTTTTGAAGGTGCTGATGTAGTGGGTGTAATGCGTGTCATCCATTTGCTTCAGGATGGCCGTCATGCAGGCGAGATAGTGGCCCTGCCAAAACAAGTGACAGCTATTACTCAGCGGATCTCTGCAGAAAATCCCCTCCTCAAAAGGCAGCGTTTGCACAACAAAAGGCCTGCGTCGCGCTAATTCGCCGCGTTGCTCGTTTTCTTTTTGTTTTTTGTTTTTTTTCAGGAGCGTGGCGCGCCTTACGATGAGCGGCGAGGCTCGGTCCATGCTGATGACGGTCCGGTTGACCCTGCGAAGGAGACGCTCCATTATCTGCTGGATGTGGACTCGGGTCGGACCCTGAGCAGAGAGAGAGAGATAGAGAGAGGCGGAGAGAGAAAGGAAAACGGTGATCAGCTGAAACATGTCGGTGTTAAAAGGGCCACTGCAAACCAAACATCAGCGTGTTTTATTGAGATTGTTGTGTGATAAGCCAATCTAAATTAGATCAGAACTGGGAGGTAAAGGGACAGAGGCGTCATGTGTTGCAAATTCAAAACTGCAAACCTCGGTGGGCGCTAGGAGTCCGGCCTCCCTGGTCAACATTTGCAGAGGCACAATTTGCTTAAATTACAGCTTGAAGAGCTTTTGGGATTCGTCTCCGCCACACAAGTAGAGACGGATATCTTTGCTCGGTCTCTGCTGCAAAACTGAAGCTCAGTTAAACTGTTACCAGCATTTTTATATCTCACTTGGATTCAGGTCTGAATTTTGACTTGTTTGTTATAACACAATAATATATCAGCTCTCAACCTATAGGATCCAAGTAATTCCGATTATTCTATCCATCTTTCTTTAATCAGAAAACAAAACTGGCAAATTGTGTGGATTTTTCATTTCATCACTTAAGCCTTTCCTATACAATATTAGAAATACACTAATAGATGCAAATAAATACCTAATTATATTTAGTTTAGTTTTATTGCCTAAACTGCAATGCTACACTCGTCTAATGTATGCTTAATCGTTTGTAGCAAAGAATGCAGCTGCAGCTAAAAAACACTTCTACTAATCTGTTGACTATATTTTGGATTAACAAATTAATAATTAGACGGCATAAGATGCTTAGTAAGAGGTTTTGTTTGTGTGTTTTATTTTTTCTACAGAAGCTAAAACTTTGCCATTTGATGAGTTCTCAGTTTTTTATTTTTTAATCCTAATTGGGAAAAGTGTATTTTCATGCAGTTTTGGCTTAATTATTGCTCTGACTGTGTTCTTCCAGAAAATGGCCTTTTTTTTAGTCTACACTCGAGTTAACGATTAACTGATTGCTAAATTTGTTGACAATTATTTCAATGATTAATCACGATTAATCGTTTCAACTCTAGTTTCAGGTCTTCTTCTAGGATTGCTCTGTGTTTTATCGCCATTCATCTTTCCACCAACTCAGACAGATGCCAAAGAAGGCATCCCCCACAGAATGATGCTGCCTCTACCATGTAGTTGCATGTTTGTTCTGTTTTTGGATCATGCATTGCATGCTGACGTTTAAAGCTGAGGACATCGTTTTATAACCTCTATCTGCTGTGTTTCTTGGCCTACATAATGGCAACTAATGTTCTATAAAAAACTTCTTAAGCCATCTGCTGTACTGTTTTCTATCTAAGGGAATCGGAGGAAAAGTGGGCTGAATGTACATGGTTGCCATGTTTTTTCAGATTTTTATTTGTGAATAAGTTTAATAACAGAGCGTTACCGTCTGCTTTATAATTTACACAACTTTGTGTTGGTTTAATCATAAAACAGAATCAAAATTTCAGCAGTAGGATCAAACTAAAGCTCATGTCTGAAACCCTCAAGGATTAAAATAAACGAGCCACAAATGGAGGGAATGCTGAGAATTATCGGTAACTTCATTTAAAACAATCTCTTTTCTAAATGATTTCTAATCACAGGTATGTGCAATAAAAAATATTTTAACTCTGAGATTTCAATCTGCCCCGATGAGAAGCAAAACAGTCGTCTCAACCTCAGAAGGGCGGCGATTAAACAGTCATTATATTTATAAAACAATGTAGAAATTAATCTACATTAATATTTTGGCAGCGGCTTGCAGAGTCAACTTCAGCAGCTACAACTTGATGCAGAAGTTCTCTGAAACTCCCCCCTTTTTTTTCTTTAAGCGCGTTTTCATTTCTCATGCTTGGACAACATTTCAATCAGGTCTTAGTCTGGACTTGGACTGAGGTTACGGCAACGCTGTGATTTTTTTTTTTTTTTTTTGTAGATTCCCTGCTGCACTTTTGGGATCACTGTCCTGTCGCCTGACCCAGTTTCAGAAAAGCCTCCGCTGTCGCACAGATGGCCTCGCATTTCGCTCCAGAAAACTTTGTTCCACTGGACTGTGTCTTTGTCTGCAAGGTGCCCGGGTCCTGTGGCGGGAAATCGGGTCCAAATCATTAACTCTCCGTCACCTTCACAGCCGAGGAGCTCACTGCCGATACGCTGTTTGTTTTCAGACAGACGCGGCCCTCGTTTCGTATTTATGTGCAGAATGTTTATTTTCCCCCAGAAGTGTTGTCGATTGGTTCAGATTCGACTTCACAAACGTACACTTTCAGTTTTATTCACGGAGAAAAGAGGCTTTTCTTCTGGCAGCCGCTGTACACATCCCATCTTCTTTTTCCCCACATTTGATATGTCGAGTCTTGAAGGAATTCATTTGCAGCTCTTTGGCTTTTTTCCTGGGAATTTTCACTGAGCATTGCACGATCATGGGGTAAAATTTGCCTGCTGTATTAGGATGGACCATCACATTGATTCAAAATGGACCAAGCATTTCCCAGATAGACCAGCGGCCGACATGTTTTTTTTCTTCTTTTTTTTCTCAAACCATCTTTCCTCTTTAACCTTGGGTTCCTCACAAACCTAAATGTTGTGAAATGGGGAAGTACCAGTCTCATTAAAAGTCTGTTTGATCAGCATCCTCTGCTCTGAATGCAGAAATAAGCCAAATCCTCCACGGCATTTTAAGCAGTATTTTATATTTTTTTTTACTTTAAAGGGCCGGTATTGCGTATTTTTGTGGCACATACGGTCATTTTATGGCACAATCAAGTAACTACGTTACCTTCAGTAGTTATGAACATGCTGTATAAAACAAAAGTTACTTTTAATTTGACTTTGCATCACAGCTGTCTCTGCTGCTTTGAAATTGGCCCCTGTCTCTTTAAGAACCTCTTGCTCTTTTTGACACGAGTCATTACAACAACACTTCTTCATGTTGTCCACCGACGTCGTACGCAAGCGCTCTTTGGAGCTTAGCAGACGTGCAGTTCCACCAGGTTTTATCTTACTGCTGCTGCCGCTGGTCTAGAGGAGCAGTGTGAGGGGGGCTGAGGAGAGGGGTGCTCTGTGAGGCTGGGGGCTCGGCTAAGGATCGAAGCTCCAAGGAGAAGCTTTGGGTAAATAGGCGACGCATTGATTGCCACGGGAGATTCAAGGATTCCCCTTTAACAGATAATTCAAAAGAATTCATTTATTTCACTTCTGATCTCATTTCGTGTTTGAACTTGGTCAGGTTGCTTGCAATGACCCGTGTGTTTGTCTTGTGCCCTATAGTATTATAATTATCTTTTTTTTTTTGTTATCTTAACTGCTACTGTAAATCAAATTTCCCTCTGTGGGACATTAAAGGCCTGAATTGTATTAGAGCAGAATGGAACAGAACAGAATATATTATTTGCACATGGAAACAATACAGACACCATAAGGCTGATAAAACAGCAGCATCTCCAATATCACATTATAAAGTTAATAGTAAGCCAGCATTAAAAAAAAAAAAAAAAAAAAAAGAGTCAAAAACAACACAAATTTATAAGAAGCAATAGAAATCACATGTCATTTGAAATTAGCATTATTTTTAAGCGTTTTCTAAAAGAATGAATATTACTAGTGGGTTGAATAGCTGGTGGTAGGTTATTCCAAAGAGAGGAGCCTCTATAATTAAGTGTCCTTCGCTTAATTACTGTTCAGATGCAACAGTGTATTTTTGAATAATCAGAGTAATAAGAGGGGAAAAAGGAATAATTAGGAAAAACATTTTTGTTAAACTCCTGAGAAATCAGTAGCTAAATGCACAAATTTCCACAAAGAGACATATCAAAAGGGCACATCAAGTCCAGTCCAAGTATTTAAGTATTTATATATAAATAAGAGCAGATGAAGGCAGTCTATTTGAAAAGTTCATAAAAAAAAAAAAAAATTCAATTTTTGTAATCTTTGAGATATGATCGACATGCAGCTCCCCAAACATTGAAATATATTAGACTTTTATATATCAAGCTATGATGTAATGTCAACATACAAGACGGTTAATAATTGCCATCAATTTTACCGTCTTTCTTTTTACAAGTTCATTATGTCGTCTTCATCTTAGTTCATAGTCATCCACAAAAACTCCTCAGAATTTGGTTGGAGGCTCTTGGCTAGTTAAGAGGATCAGCAGATGCTTCACTTCTTTAAACGTTTCAAGGTTGGACTTAGTTTTTCTCAAAAAATAAATAAATAAATAAAATAAATAAACTTTTATATATATATAAATATATATAGATAAATGCATATATTTTAAATTTAAAGGAATAAAGCATGTTGTGTTTTTATAAAAACATGTTTATTTGAAACTCTACGAGGGCTTCCTGCTCTGATTGCTCACCCTCTTGTTCAAATATATCTCAAATCCCCTTGAAGACAAACCTCCCTTATGTGTAACGTTCAAAGTGTTGCAAACCGCAGCCTAAATGAATAGTGGCTCTGCATCATCGGCTTTTCCCTTCAATAAAGCATGCTTCAACTCATGCTATGTGCAGATAAGCAAGAACCAAATAAATGTTCCTTTGCATTTAGACGATTCGAGGGCCTCTTATCGTGTTTATCTCTTTGATACTTCTGGTTCATTTCACTCTGCGGCAAAAAAAATAAATTACTATTCAGCTGCGACTCTGGATTCTTGCCGGGCAGCTGGGATATCTAATCCCTTCCAGCATGGTCGGGGTTTGCCTACAGGCCTGCTTCCCAGCGGAACTTTTCCTGGATAACCTCTGAAGAGAAGATGAATCATCTCCACGGGATCCGCAAAACAACGGTTTTTCCTCTCGGGTCCCTGTGGATGTCTGAGTGCCTTGGCCGCGGCGCAGGCAGACGCCGTGAGGATTAAACACACTTTGCCCACCGATATCCAGCACAACAATCCTGCTACGAGCCGTGGCGGGCATTTTTATCTGCACCCGGATGGGTAGGGAGCCTTAAGCATGAATTGGGTGTTTATGACCGTAACATAAGCTCGCAGTTAATCAATCTTTAATCTGAGTCCAATTATTGAGCATTTATTTTTAACTAAAATCACAGGTGGCATAACTATTAATACCTTTTTTTCTCCCTCTCTCTCTCTTCAGCTTAAAAACAGGTATTTTTATTTGGACTTATTTTGAGCGCCGAGACCTAAATCCGACAAGAATTTGATTTTGTTGATTTGGCCTTACGTTTTGGTTTAATATACACTTGATGGATCTTTTTTTTTTTTTTTTTTTTTTTTTTTTTCAGATTCCAATTCAAAATGTTGGTTTTTCAAAGAATTTGCGACAGCAAGTAGGTTTCCAGGACTTTTTGAGCCCACAGCGTCACAGATCCTCTGCCGTACTGAACTTTGAACAGGAAATGTCCAAAGTTCATCCTTTGTTTCATTTGAGTTAAATTGTTCTGGTCCACTTTGCAGAAAAAAAAGCAGCATTCAAGCTTCTGTGCACCACAAATCTGGAACAACCTTCCAGGAAACAGCAAAACGGCCGAAACACTGAGTTCCTTTAAATCAAGACTGAAAACCCTCCTGTTTAGAGCTGCTTTTCAAACATAAACATCTGATGATGACGATTTTAATAATGGTGTGGGACAAAATGTAACGTCTGTTATTCGTTTCACAATTGGTTTCTGTGTGATGCGTTTATGATGTTTTTCTGATGTAAAGCACTTTGAACTCCCCTGATGCTGAAATGTGCTATGCAATAAATGTTGATGAAAGCCTTGATCTTAACTTCATCTGACTGAAGACACACAGGTCCAGTCGAAGTCAAGACTTTTGCATATTTGCGTTTTCAATGGAAGAACTGACAAGTTTTGTAGGGTTTGGCATCATGGTCAAATAACCAGAGTGACGTATAGACAGGGTCTAAAGATTGTTACAGAGATCATGATGCTGCAGGTCCTCCTGCTCACCCTGGTTGGTGAGGAGACAAGCAACAAATAGCTAAAAGAAAAAGGCCTTGTCCCTTTCTGCTCTGCTGTGAGAGAGGCCTGAACGACAGACCTGCCCAAAATGCGGCTAGCAGTAGAAATCCCACTGTTGCCAACTTTGCCACTACGATTAGTAATGCTTCAGAAAAAAAAAAGTCGGCATCAGTCGGAAACAGCAGGTCAGACTTTTTAAACATCAGCGATTGACTAGAAAATTGCAATGTTCTTTCCAATTATCTACATCAGAGGAACTAAAAAAATAAAGAAATAAAAAAGGTAGCACCTCTCTAATTCACACACTTAAAGCGTCTTCCATAATTTATGCTTCTATCCGTGGCTTTTTAAACTCCTTACCACATCTTTGCGGTCCAGGGTGTCCAGCACAGTGCTGAGCAGCTGGACACAGGCCTCATAGTCGGGTTTACTCGAGTGGTCATCCAGCTGCCCACTCAGCTGGTCATTAACCAGCGGCAGAAGTACATCGCGACAATCTGGAGCCAAAAAGAAAAGACAACAACGGCATTTTTAAAATCAAACCATAAACTTATACTTGAGCTTTTCTACCCCCCGCCCCCACCTCATTCCTCCTGTTTGAAATCCCAATATGTATTTTTTAGAGTTTCAAAAAAAACAAAACAAAAAAAAAAACCTTACCTGGTTGCTTGAAAAGGTCGCTCTCAATGATTTTACACATGCAGCCCAGTTTCTGACGCACAAACTGCGAGTCGGGGATGCTCTCGATGAACTTTGAAAGGAGAACGCTGCGAAGAAGAAGAAGAAGAAGAAGAAGAAAACGGAGAAACGAGGCTGTTGTGACAATCACAATGCAAATCCATTTCACAAGTTGTGATTATAGTCGCTGAGAGCCAATGAGGAGCACACACAGGACACCCCTGATTTTACAGTGCCGAGAATTAGAATAACACCTTTACTCTGAAGTAAGCATAATCAATTGCGCTGAGACAGGCAATTACCATTTCCTGTCGCGCAAAACCCTCTGGAGAGTTACCTGAGCTCCACGGGATCAAACACAGTCTGGATGTCATTAATGATGCTGGGGAGGTATTTCAATATTGCCCCCTGCAACAACAACAACAACAAAAAAAAGAAAAGCATCAGACTGGAGCTTGGGGAGGTTTTTACTCTTTTTTTTGTTCTCTAGTAAAACAAACGGTGCTTTCCCTCAATTTACTGAAAGCGCCCACAGGGAGTTCTCTTCATATTGCTGTCAGTTGCACAACTTTTCAATAACATCCATAATGGCACGAGGTGCTTTCAGCAGGATTACTGACTTCTTCATGCAGAAGTCAAAAACAGACAGAAAATAAGCATAAACTGCACACTTTACCTTTATCTTCACTCCCTCGTCCAGAGGTCTGTCCATAAGCGTGTTGAAAGACAAGAAGAGCAAACGTATGGAGTTGGAGAAAGCGCCCGGATCTTCACTGTTCTCAGGAAATCTTTAAAAAAAAAAAAAATTAAATTAAGATAAAAAGGAAACCAGACTTTTCTTTCAGAAACCAGACCACATTTCAGAAAGCCCTTCTTCATAAAATATTCCAATGCAAAGTGAATTCATGCCCCACATACCTGAAGGAGAGGACTCTGGACTGCACAATGAACCTGAACAGATACTTGAGGGCTTTGAGGGCTGTGTAGAGCCGCTCTGTCAGGGAGGGCTCCTCTGGATGGCCCACGTAGTAGTTTAGCACTTTGGTGAGCTTCCTGAGAAAAAGGAAGAAGCCTGCTGTTAGGGGCTGAGGAGGAGGGTTGCTTGCTAATTTGAAGAAGTGAAGCAAAAAAGAAAACCTTGTGCAGGTGAACTCACCTGTAAGCCAAAGTGGCGCTGAAGTGCTTGCTGATGTACGTTTCCAGGACGGGATTAAAATGCTGGAATTTGATGTCCCCAATAAGTGTGATTATGAATACCTGGTGATAAACAAGAAAGACTGTAAAAAAATAAATAAATAAAAATCTGTCTTTTATGTACACCGTCCTCCACAGTCACGGCCAACTTGTGTAAAAATGTCTACAGAGTCTTAAATTCATCTTTTATCACTTTCGCATAATTTTACACAGGAAATATACTGCAGTTCTTTTACCAGGGTTGGGGTTAATCACAAAAAGCCAAACTGATGGCTCATTTTCAGCTTTCTGGCAAGATGCTCACTGTTTTTATTTAATAACGGGTCCGCAGCATCACAGATCCTCCACCGTAAAAAATAAAAACACTGGGCATAAGGCTGTGTTGCACATCATTTCAGTTTTTTTTTTTTTTTGGTGAATATGTACAAGCAGAATTATGCAAACTTTCAAGCTTTCAAATTCCAAGCAGCAACCAATAATTTAAAAACGAGCAAAAATGTAATACCTGCCAATGACGTAATTTGAACAGTTTTATGTAACAAAATCAATAACAGTGACTTTGCAAAATATGTCATGTTTTTTGAGCCAATGACATAACATTTTGTCACTTTGCAAATAACTATAATAAATTTAGGTCACATGACTAGGGTTCTGTTAATCTAGATTTTGTTCAACAAATAATTCTTAATTTGGCCCCAGAACTTTTAATGAGTGCAGCATATTACAAAATAAATGACAATACGACCATGTCAAAAAATATAAATAGTATGTTTTCAAGGGGCACAGCCCTATTAATGACATATTTGACTTTATAAATGTTTAAAGAACTTTATTGATTAACTTATTATATTATTGGCAAAATGTTACTGCCTGAAAAACATACATCTAACTAGGTGAAGTGATATTTATTAGTGCTTAAGTTACTGCCTGTATTACATTTAAAAGTACCAAAGCCATTATAATGTTGGCATTACGGACTCATGTTATCGGTACAACTGTTAGCATAGCAACGATAGTTTCTTTTGCTGCCCAAATCTTTTGCCGATGAAGCAAACGCGCTCTCTGATTTTCTTTGAATCACCAAATTTGCAGCTGCAGCCAAAAGGCAGCCTTCACCGCGAGAGGGGGGAGGACATGATATTTAAATATGGAGCTGACAACAACCATTTTCTGGCTTTTTCTTCTTGAAGGCATTCAGCTGTTTACATGAAAAATGCAGGAAACTTGCTATGCAAGATTTAGGGGGGGGGGGAAGGGCTGAAAGAGAAGTTCAAATCCACATCACTTTGTAGAAACAAGACAACTGCTTTCTGAGGTCATAGGAAGAATCTGTTTTTGATGCCTCACACTTTAGCCTTAAATCTGTGTAAGGAGCAGAAGGAAAACATCCAAGAGCAAATCTGCATACTTTATCTAACAACTGGAACTTTTTCCCTCCCCCCTCTCCCCCAACTCATCCTGCATCTTCAATAAGGACTAACCAGGGCATCAAACACCAAAGTGTCATAGGTGTCTTTTTCTGAAGTCTCCATCATGATGTTGAACAGAGCGTCAAGAGTGTCCTGGAGAAACTGTGGACAAAACAGGAACATGTCACACAAATGCCATTCAACAGAGCAGGAAACTGCTTTTATTTAAGCACATGTAAGAAATTACTTTAACAATCTCCCCTCCTTCCACTTCCATGAGCCTTTGCAAGATTTGGTCCAGATCCTGGGAATTGGACCTCCAGTTCAACAGACCCAGCAGATCCACTACAGAAAAAACAACAAACAAACAAAATCAAAATACATCGACAGTCAAGTAGAGGCATTGATAGGATCTTTAAAAAGTTGAGTTTTTATGATACAGCAGCATAACCAAGGGATATGCTGCAAGTTCTAAGGTTTTATGAACTGATGTGAACTAAATATAAAATGTGTTCAAGTGAAGTTTCTGTTGAATGTAGTTGGAATAACAGTAAGAAAAACTTTGGGGTTGGAATAATGAAAAAGTCACTTTGTTTAAATAGCAAATGACTTAGGATTAATCAGAATATTTGAAGTATTCTTTGTATCTCACAAAGGATGCTTGCAAACAAAAGTGCATATCTATAAATTAATACCAAATAGACGCACTGTGCAGTATAGCTAATTAAATGTTTGTTGTTGCTCATTTTGCATGATTTACAGTATCAATATTATCGTTTTCAAAGTCACGTTTTCCTTCCACTCAACCTTCCATTATTATACCTAAATATAAGATTCTTTAGTGACTTACTTACCCTAATTATGGAAACAGACAATGACTGCTGAACAAGTGTTACGACTGCAGTCTTTCATGATTGCACAGGTTTTAACATTTCTGCATTAATGATCACTTCTATTGATCTTATGTTATATAGTTTTTTTTGTTTTGTTTTTTGGAGAAAAGTGTATTTTCATTGATTGCAAGCTAATATAATCAAAACTAACAGAAATAATCACCAGAAAAATGTCACATAGTTTCACTTATTGAATTTGATTATAAAAAATGATATTCTAATTTACTGAGATGCACCTGCATGCTCACACACCGTCACAGAAGTGCAATTTCTTCCTCATTTTCACAAATGACCTCTTCAGATCTGGAAGCGTGGCGCTCCTCTGCCTCTTTTCTTCATTTAAACAAGGAGCTTGCAAAGCTACAAAGCTTTGGTTTTCGTGGATGTTGCTAAATTGCAAAAACACAAAGTTTTTGTTTTTTTATATAATCTATGCTGAGATTTTATATAAATCACTACAAACGAGCCTCTTGACGTGTTTCTTCACCGATAAATGCAGTTCTGACGTCTCAACTTCTGCTGCTGCACAGTGTGAAGTTCCAAATATGCGAAGCAGAAGTTTTCCTGTCATAATTATTTTACTAAGGAATCCTGCTTCATTGTGATCATTAAAGTAAAAGTTTGGTTGGATATAATATTTAATAATTTATCAAATTATTAATTTTTTATTCAGATTTTTTGGGGGTTTTCTTTTTTGCTTCTTCAGCCACCTGGCACTAATTTATGAATTATTCAGGCACAAAGTTTCTAATCGACTAAAGTAAGATGCTTTTCTCACACTTTCTGTCAGGATTTTTGGAGGACTTTCTTTCTCCCTTATTTAATCTTTTTTTAAATAGACTTATCACACCTTCTGTCCTCCAGTTGTCAGCTCTGCTAATTTTGTAAAGCCTGTAGTTGCTGCACAATATGACCTGGTATAAAAGGTCATGTCAGAACAAAATCTAAAGGAAAACTTAGAGATTACCATAATGAAGAACTGCGAGCGAGAAAGTCTCCTTATTTACATTTTTTCTCATCTGCTCTAATAGAAAAAAATAATCATTTATTTTTATAAGTTATTTCAAAAACATGAAAAATATCTGTTATTCCAGCAGCAGCAGGATTAAGCTTTCTCTCCTCCACCAGACTCAGTCACATTTCTCTGGAAACCTAAGAACGGTTAGTTACCTTCTGCTAAATCTTATAATACCCGATCTAAGTCACTTTGAGGAAAAAAAAAAATCCCCTGCTGTGGATGTTCACGCTGTAAAAATGGCAACATGCGTCTTTAGCACAGAATCGTTAGCGGCGGCTTTTCTAAAGAATGACTATAAAATACAGAAGAAATGAAACAAATGTGTTTCTTAAATACATTTCAAGACCTTTAATGGTACTTTCAGAGAACAAATGCAGGTTTCAAAAGATACGCTGAACATTTAGAAAGACTCTTTCCTTTAATAAATTAAATGATCCTTTTTGTCGACTGCTTTAATTAACTGCTTTCTATAATTGTGACAAACAATCCAAAACAGAAGAAATCAGTAGGAGGGCACTCAACGTTTCCCAGCACTGTATATTTAACATTTTTCTCTTCCTGAGATTCACCGCTGCTTTGAAAAAAAAAAAAAAAAAAAAAAAAAAAAGCATTCTGAGCTTCAACCATTTACGTCCAGGTCCAACTTCTCCCCTCCTCTTTCAATCCTGCGCAGCTGAAGGTCGCCTGTTACAAATTCAATTACGCTAATTCTGTTAAACGTCGGAAATCTAAATACAAATTTAATTAAACTTGCAGCCGGTAACATCGTCGCGTCAGCGTATTATTAGCAACTCACATTGTTTTGCCGGCATTTTAAAGAGATCTGCATGGCGGTCGCAGCTTCTCTTGCCGTCCTTCACAGAATGTCTGAAGGTCATTTGAGCTGGTTGCAGCTTTTGTGAAGTAGATGAGGTTTGGAAAAAAAAAAAAAAAGATTCTAAAGCACTCAAGCTTTCCTCTATGCTGTTGGTATGGCTTTTATTAAAAGTGCATTCATGTTTTCTCTAACTGTATAGAGCACAGAGTCATGAAAAAGAGACCCTCCTCCACCTGTCGCTGCACAAACATGTCTAAAAAAGGCTATGAATGTGTCTCCTACTTCATCAAAGTGACAGCTCCAACATTTTTCAGCGAGGACATGAAAAATCCATGCAAAATACTGCTCAAATATAAAAAGTAAATGGAAGATTAATAAAAGCAAATCTAAGACCTAACTAAATATTGATGTGATTAAAAGTTTAAGACCTTGCAGAAATCTTGTCCAAGTTATCCCACCATAAATAAATTAAAAAAAAAAGTCTACATATGTATTTCTGACAGAACGCCTGTCGATCACCACCGAGCCACTTCAGCACAGGTAAAATTAGAGATGAGCCCCGCCGTACCATTCTGGGTGAGCTTAGTGGAGCAGGTGAGCGTCGCGATCTGGAAGCTGTCTTTAGTCACTGGAATAACCCCTGAATGGTGGAACGGCTTCCCAGTTTGCCTCTGAATCTGCTCCACTTCGGCCGAGGTGGCCGGCAGGCTGAGATAAACCTTTGCATCGTCTGCCTTTTTCACATCAACCTAAAAACAAAAAAATAAAAAATAAAAAATTCATGACAGGGTGAAGGATGAATAATGAAGCACATTGATCGATGGAGATGTAATCTCATATTTATTGACCAAAAGAGAGGCCCGCGCATAATCCACCTGCCAACGGGCAGCTATTGATGACACCTCGTTGCATAATTAGGATAATCACGCTCATCTTTTACGCTCTGTGAATTTATGATGCGAACACTCGAGCGCCGTCCTGGAATGCTACCTTGTAGACGAAAAGCTCATGCCTGCCGTCTTTCAGCGTGGTCCCGTCTCCTCTCATTAGCTTGACGTACGCCATGCCAAAGGGCTTCTCTGATTTGTCCCTGGCTGAAGGATACACAGGAGCATGAGACAGAAAGGAGCGGATTCACCCCAAGCTATGCTTAACATGGTGGCAGGATCTGCCATAGGAAACATAAAAAAAAAAAAAAAAAAAAAAAAAACACACAGGAGTAACTCACAGTCCTGGGAGGATCTGTGTCGGAACATCACCCTCAGGTGGCAGCGGCACACGTCTTCAATGGGAATTGTCACCTTGCAACAACGTGGGGGGAAAACAATAGAAAAGGTGTCAGATTGGTATGACAGGAACATTAAACACATGTTTTCTCTCGAGAATTATTTGGCTACACGTAGGTATCCCAAAAAATTAATAAAAGCAAGAAAAAGCAAAAGGATAAAGGAACATGAAGTGCAGTACCAGCTGTATCTGTTGACACATGTCCTAAAGATTTGGAAAAATTCAATGTTTTATTGTGGTAGCATAATATCACACTGAAAAAGAAATATATATTTAATATTTGAGTTATTCACATGGTGGGGCGGGGGAGGATCCTATGTTGAGGAATCACAGTTTTTTGGCGCAATTATTAGTAGACTGAAAACCCCCGTCAAAAATTAAACCTGGATATATTTTTTTAATTCATACCTGAATTTATACTTTAACATGATCAGAGTTCCTGAGGAATACCAAAGACTAATCCATTTCTTTCTGTTCCTGTTGCGTATAAATATCACATTGCACTGAGGCCAATTTCTTTTGCCCCTGGCTACTCCGCTGACCCATATGTGCGCTCCAACCATGGATCACAGTGAGGATGGCGAGAGAGATGAGAAAACTCTCCAGAGTTCACTAAAACCTACTGCTAAGCAGGAAGGAATGGCAGCTGAATTTAATTTTTTGTTGTCGCTTCATACGTGTATAATAAAATTTCAGTCTTGGGGTCACTATTCCGATTCAATTAAAAAATATTTTATTCATCCCAAAAGGAAAACGAAATGTTCCCACAACTCCTATCAGCCGAGAATCTTCAAAGAGACACTGAGGATGTCAGGTAGCAGTCCGTTTTCCAACAAATCTGAAAAGGTCTCTGACTGAAGACACTGCTGTTGTATGAAAAGCCACATGACTCTCGTGACACGCCAGCAGCTCAATATCCACGAGACGGAGACGATATTTAACATATTATGGACTACACCGTCAGTTTTTGACCAGCACTGCTAGCCCACCTCGTTTGCTTTTGCCACTCCCATTTAAACCGACTGGATATTATCCAGTCTGTTTCCCAGCAACACTCCATGTGGGTTTGCTGCGAAACGAAGATGAGTTTGTGGAAAAGCTCTTCAAGTGAGTACAGGGGAGGACGTGTAATTCTTCTCTGAAGGCTCTGGGTCCATTTTTAGAGTGCAAAACATCAAGAACTCCTTGAAATATTAGGACATTTTTTAAAAAGAAATCTAGATAACTACCAGCAGTTATGACTCAATCACGACTCAAAACATATTTCTAAATGTGAGGACAGCGTTGGAGAAGATCAGATCCCTCTCTCTGTATGCTTCTGCCTCATGTTTTTTCTTTATATTTGATAAAACATGCTTAAATTAAGGGCTTTCTCCCCCGAAATCTTAACCGTGGGGATCGTACGATAAAAGATTAATTGGATTTCGAGGCTTATTAAACCTCTTTAATAGGAGAGCTGATAAATCTGATCTACGTTTATTAGCAGCTACTCTGTATGACGGGTGCAGTGCCGGTCCTGACAGATGAGCTTACCTTCACCGTTTCGTTCCAACATGGCTGCTTCACCTGGTAGTAAATGACAGACTTGTACTCCGTTATGCCGTCGTAGCCGGCCCCGGGAAATATCGCTTTCTGCCGAAAATTGAAAAGAGAAGAGGAGTTTTACATGACCGGAACGCTATCAGAGCTTTCTCTAGTGCTGCGTTTGATATCTACCTGCTTTGACCAAAAAAAAAAAAAAAAAAAAAAATAAATATTTTTATATATATTTTTAAACAAAAAAAAAAAAAAAAAAAAATTTT